TATATATATATATATATATATATATATATATATATATATATATATATATATATATATATATATATATATATATATATATATATATATATTATTTGATTAATAAATATATCAAGTTTTGATATATTTACGGTAACAAAAGCAAAATATCTTCATGAAACATGATCTTTATTTAATACACTAATTAATTTTGGCATACAAAAAAAAAAAACATACAATGTTAACATACCTGTGCAACACAAGACTGGTTTTGTGCACCAGGGTCACGTGTATTAATTATTATGACAGGCCTGATAATCTCATAACTGTAAATTTAACAGCAGTGAATATGACTGACCTGGCATCCAGCGTCTGTCCCAGGATGTGCAGGCAGTTGACGATAGACGTGGCATCATTTCCTGACAAAAACACAGCGGCGCTCATCTCACACACACTGATCATCCAAACACACATGCTTTTCACACTCTCTGCTCTCGCTAGCAGCACCTACTGTCACTTTAACTCAAAGAGCCAGGCATGAGATGTGTGTTATCAGAGAACAGCACACACTGAACTCATCAAACAGCATCAGATCCTCTCAGACAGAGATGCAGACTGACTTTATCAAATTTCCAGCTGTTTGAGCTCAGATAAACAGCTTCAACAGAAAAGACTCCTATCTGGAATCTAGAAAGAAAGTCATGGTGTCTTTTACATCTCTCAACTTTTTTTCTTTCGGTTGCCAGCTCATATCTTGAACATCATGCAATATTTATTTAATTATCCAATCTTAAACATGCAAGTGTTTCTGGTTCTGTCACTGAAATAGTTGGTAGCAGTTGCATTTCTGATTGAAGTCTTACAATTAAAGCCATTCTCCTCAAAGCCATCATCTCATAATTGTTTTTATCTTGTAATTCTAAATAAACATCAACCATAGATATATACATTAGATGTCGCCTGGCCTATTGTTGTCTATTGGACGGAATGCGTCAATAGCGCCGCCATCTTGGAACTGGGTAGCGCTCCTTTGAAATGAATGCGGGACCAAGGTACAGTGGAGGACTGTGGCCATGCAAAGCCAGAGATATACACATATACACATATATCTATGATTGGGAGTTTTCCTGGATGTTAGTGTGTATTTTTTTTTCTAATTACGAAAATTATAATTTTACATCACTTTTCTACATTGATGGATCAGTGACCGCACGGGCATTCCTGACAAAAAGCTTGTGTTTGTGTGTACAGAAATGTACTATTCACCCTCCCTGTTAAATTTGATCTAATCATGTCCTGAAACACACCTCCTCTCCTGCTTTCACTGCTCATACTGACGGAGGGAGCGACTCGTTTGTGAATGAATCCCCCAAACGACTCTTTCACTAACGTTAGCCAACAATAATACAAGTTTCTGGCAGCGCAGCATCTCGTTGTCATATTTCTTTTGCACTGTTTGCTGATTTTATTCAACAAAACTAGCATAAGCCGAGTGTTTAGTGCGAGTCGGAGCTGCTTTGCCGTATGGTGAATGCAGTAAGTGACTGTTATCATCAATAACGTTACCTGATTAGCACAAAAGCTCAGAACTTACAAAAACAGAAAAAAACTTAATATTACCTATGAAATGTTCTGCCTTTGTGCTTTGTTTTCTTTGTTTGCTCGTTACTACACCCGTAGACAGTGCTAAAGTCCTGCATCTTCAAGTAATAACACTGTCTTGACTAGTGCGGTTGAATGACATTTGTCCTGGGAGCACTGTACCAATGTGGCGGCGCTATTGACGCATGCTCAGGGTCCCTATGCGATATCTAGTGTATATATCTATGAACATCAATTAGTTATGGTGGCTTGAAAAGCCAACCTACTGTTATCTCACTTAAACTTCTTTTTTCTGAGACAAATTTTAAAGTCAAATAATTTTAAATTTTAAAGACCTTTAAATTTACTAGCCACTCCCTAGCAACCACTTATGGTACCCTAGCAACTGTCCCATAGACTTCCATTGTAAAAGACTGCCATTGACTTAACATTGAGTCAACATTTGTGAGCTCATAACTCTACATCAGACTGTCCTACAGACTACAGTCAGGACTCATTCAACTCAGTCTAGCCTGCAGCCAATCACTGATGACCTTTAGACTTACTAACCACTCCCTAGCAACCAATTTCACATGCTAATCTTGCTAGAAACATGCTAGTCATGCTAACATCATGCTAATTCATGCTAACAACATGCAAATTCGTAGAATCATGCTAGTAACATGCTAATTCATGCTAGTAACATGCTAATTCATGCTAGAATCATGCTAGTAACATGCTAATTCATGCTGGAATCGAACCATGCTAGTAACATGTTAATTTATGCTAGAATCATGCTAATTCATGCTAGAATCATGCTAGTAACATGCTAGTTCATGTTAGATTCATGCTAGTAACATGCTAATTCATGCTAGAAACATGCTAATATATACTAGAATCATGCTAACAACATGCTAATTCATGCTAGTTACGTGCTAATTCATGCTAAAATCATGCTAGTAACATGATAATTCATGCTAGAATCATACTACTAACATGCTAATTCATGCTTAGATCATGCTAATTCATGCTAGAAACACGCTAGTAGCATGCTGGCTAGAATCATGCAAGTAACATGCTAATTCAAGCAAGAATCATGCTAATAACATGCTAATTCATGCTTAGATCATGCTAATTCATGCTAAAATCATGCTAGTAACATGCTAGCTAGAATCATGCAAGTAACATGCTAATTCAAGCTAGAATCACGCTAGTAACATGCTAATTCATGCTTAGATCATGCTAATTCATGTTAGAATCATGCTAATAACATGCTTATAACATGCTAATTCATGCTAATTCATGCTAGAATCATACTAACACGCTATTTACACTTTAAAACCACTTCAAACTTTCAGACTCGGCTTTTCAAGCCACTATAAAGTTTGTTCTCAAACTTTAATATCTAGTTTGAATTGTGACATAAACAGTCGCATTTAAATATAAAATGCCTCAAAACACACACAGACAAATCACAAAACACACGTTTCTCTTACCAAACAATGAGATCCGGTGTCGCACCAGCACACCCAGCTTACAGAACAGGCTGAGAGTCACGAGAATAGGGTATAAGAAACAATAAATAATGAATACACATAATAAACCCATCAGACTAAAGCAGCTTCAGAGGTTTACCTGGTCACCATCTCTTTCTCTTTATTGGAGGCGTGGCCGCCGCTGCTGATTGGTCGAACCGCAGTGGACAGGAAGTACAGCCGGTGGTTCTTGAAGTACTGATCCACTAGTGGCAGAACAACCTGGAAATGAATGAAACAACCATTCTGTCAATGCAAAGATATCAGAGCTCCCACTTTAAGCCAAATACCAAATTCCCTGACTGTTCTCTGACTATAAGCTGAATTTCCATGATCTAATGAACGTGAAAACAGTCTGCTGTTGTGCTTATATATTAATAATATAATAATCAGGGCTTGAAATTACACACGCCAGCTTATAAAATGCGGGTAGATTTCAGCTGCGGCGGGTAGGACAGACACCCCCACTAGCCGCTTTGGCTGGTTGTAAATATTTGTTAAGTTGCCTGAGCGGCCTCGTCCCTGAAGATTAGAATTTTAGTTTAAGGCCGTTTGTCAATATGCGCACAGATGTGATCTTAGAATCGAGAAGCAGCATGACTGATAACTGCTTGTGCGAGCAAAAGAAAGCAGGTGAATACCGAATGAGAGACTGATGCGGCACACAGTGAGACACATGCGATTCTCACTCACTGACAAGGAGGTACAGCTGATGTGAAGAGCACCAGTTAAACTGACCGGGTCCGGGTCCTAGACGTCATCGACTTTTGCTTTAAGATTTAAAGGGCTAGCATTGCACCAGACCCCCGTAAGTGACATTTTATACGGTTCCTTATACAGCATGGATGTTGTAATGTCATTAAAATACATTCAGTTAAATAAACTTTAGCATTTAGTTGCTCAAGCGTAAAACGAGAGAAAAAGCCTTTTACTCGCACGCGCCCGTCAGAATTGGCAGGCTAACACAGAAGCTCCATTGAATATACTGGGGTAAAATAAAAGCTCATATTATAAAGACATGGCGGGGGGGAAATGTCATTTAATGCAGTGCTTCTTGTACAATCTGAGACCCACTTTAAATCGGATATCACTCAGCTAGTGGAGATCGCTGATTTTTAAAGAAAACAGACCTTAAACGCACGGGATTTTGCATTGGCATTTAGTTCGCCGGAAGCGCTTAACCCAGGTTACTGGCAAATTAAAAGTCCTATTAGCATGCTTCGGCATATACCCCATTTCATGGCTTCAACAAAAAAAAAATTCCCTCTCTTTGCCTGGAATACACCCTTAAAAAATCTATGATATTCCAGAAATCCCATGACCTGTGAGAACCCTAAGGATTTACTAACTGATTGTGTGTTAAGTAAGTAAGAGTAAATCAGACCTTCCCGAAGAACTTAATCTGCTGCTCATGAGGGATTTTCTCTCCTTTTGGTCGTATTCCTGCATCTGAAAAAAGATGACCAGCTCATGTCATGATAATGATGATGATTAAACGGAGATGGACAAAAACATTAAAGCAAAAGTCTCACCAAACTCCAGCATGTGTCCGTGAGCTTCATCCACATACGTGATCAGCTGCTGCAGAAACGTGTAGGCGAAGCGCTTCTCTATGGACGGAGTGTCCAGATCCTGTTCTTTCATAGCCCTAATTGCAACAATCACACACACACACACACACACACACACACACACTAGTTATCATACAGAAATATTTTAAGATTTCACAGGACTTTTATCAAATAAAAGCAGCCATGGTAAACAGACAAGATCTCAAGATTAAAACAAGTATGCACATTACTTCTCTTTTGAAAGAATCCCCTCTGAATAAAATGTCTATATGCTTCTTAAAGAGAAATCAGTCCCTCCTGCATTTTGCAAAGATGCCTTTTAAAGGCTTAACTGGGTTAATTAGGGTAGCTAGGCAGGTTAGGGTAATTAGACAAGTCATTGTATAACGATGGTTTGCTCTGTTGACTATTGGAAAAAAATATAGCTTAAAGCGGCTAATAATATTGACCTTAAAATGGTGTTTAAAAAATTTAAAACTGCTTTTATTCTAGCTGAAATTAAACAAATAAAACTTTTCTCCGGAAGAAAAAAATATTATCGGACCTACTGTGAAAATTTCCTTGCTCTGTTAAACATCATTTAGGAAATATTTAAAAAGACAAAATTCAAAGGAGGGCTAATAATTCTGGCTTCATCTGTATGCAGCCTTTTCTCAAAACCTATGGCATTATTTACCTAAAAGAGCCACTAGGAGAACAACAATGGTTAATCCACCTCAGACTTTTAAAAGAATTTGAAGCTGTTTGAGTGGATGTGAAGCGTTCCTCTCCTACATGATAGCTCAAACATTATATTTAGATTTTCTTTCATCAACTTTTTAACACACAGTTTGTGACACTGTCAACAAAAGGTATAACATTATTTACTTCAGTTCTGCTGTTTGTCTCTTGTAAATACACAGCAACCATGTCATTTTTTTTTATCTGAAACACCATTGCAAAATTCTATAGGGACTGAGAAATGTGGATGATTGTGAAACAGGCAGGCAGTCACCTTGAAACGCTGTATCCGTTGATCTGAAAGAACTTGAGGATGTCTTGTGCTTTCTCTCTATCTTTGGATTTCTCTTTGGCAGTTAAAGTGTCATAAGGAACCAGCAATGGATGACTTCCTCCTCCTGACAAACCAAACACAAGATAAAGCAGAGCACCACACACAAACACACTCTCTCTGTCACATAATGCATCCAGTCCTGCAGCGCCATCTATTGGCTACAAATGACTCAAGCATTCATACATACATGCATAGAACATGAGTCATACTACTCAAACTATTTTTCTAAGGTATACAATATGCAGTATTTGATATTTGTATATTGTATTATTTGTATATCCTCACTTTAAGCCAAATATTAATTTTCCTAACTTTACTCTGACTTTCACTAACTAAAAGACTGAATTTCTATGACCAACAGTGAACGGAAAAAAGGTTGCTGTTGTGCTTTGCATGAGATAACAATGGTTTAATCTTTCAGGACTCAACAGCCACTATGAGAACAAAAATTAATAATTTACCTCAGGATTTAGAAATGACCGGAGGTACTTGCTGTTTCCTACTGCTCCTAAAATGTATTTTATCCTGACATGTTAGCCTTAATTAACAGGTGCGCTATTTTACTGTACATATAATGTACATATAACGTAATAATTATGTCTGCAAAATTGTTGCAAACTATTTACATGTGTTGAATTTAAATAAACAAGTTAAATTTAGCAATGATCAACTTAATTTGTTTGTTTAAATTCAACCAAAAAAAATTTTTTTTTACATTAAACTTAAAAGAATTGAGTAAATCCAATGAATCATCTTTGAATAATGTTTTCCAGTGTTTGACTGCAGTGACTGGAATTTGATCAGGATGAAAGGAATAAAACAGAGCAGAAAAATAGCCTAATCATAACAACAGAAAAATACCTTTTAATAAACGGAAATTATTAAATTTAAAGCCATAAATCTCTGATATTTTATCATATATATATATATATATATATATATATGTATAAATAAAATATATACATATAAATATATGTATTCCCTGACTTTTAACTTCATTCATTCATTTTCCATCAAGTCACTTTATTTATTAGAGCTTACCACAGCAGAATGAACGGCCAACTATTCTGGCACATGTTTTATACAGCAGATGCCCTTCCAGCCGCAACCCAGTACTGGGAAACACCCATGACCTCTCACATTAACACACACACACTTATACACTACGGTCAGTTTAGTTCAGTGGTCACCAAACTTGTTCCTGGAGGGCCGGTTTCTTGTAGACTTTAGCTCCAGCCCTAATCAAACACACCTGAACAAGCTAATCAAGCTCTTACTTTGTATACTTGAATCATCCAGGCAGGTGTGTTGAGGCAAGTTGGAGCTAAACCCTGCAGGGACACCGGCCGAGATTGGTGACCCCTGGTTTAGTTCATCAATCCCCCTATAGCGCATGTGTTTGGACTGTATGGGAAACCGGAGCACCCAGAGAAACCCAAGCCAACACGGGGAGAACATGCAAACTACACACAGAAATCCCAACTGACCCAGTTAAGGCTCGAACCAGCGAAATTCTTGCTGTGAGGCGACAGTGCTAACCACTGAGCCACCGTGCCACCTGACTTTCAATTTCTGTATTAGACCTTTTAAAACTCCATGATATTCCAGAAATTCTCGTTTTAAAGCGCAGACCTTTGGATTCCAGCTCCAGCTTTTTCTTCTGAGCCCAAATGTTGTGGTAGTTCTCAGCCAGCAGCTCCGCCATCGACTGCAACACAAAACTCATTTTTAAAAAAGGGAAACAAGGCCAAATCTATCCAACTATTAATACATTACACATCACACCACTTGTCAGAAGCAAGGTTAAATCAAGTAATTCACCACTCTGTCTTAAATGTAAGGTGGAAGAGGGAGACTGCACACATTTATTTTGGAATCGTCCAGTAATCAGAACTTACTGGTCAAAGGTAGTTTTATGAGCCGTATGTTTGGACTTCAGCTACGGTTGGATGCATTGTCTTTGAATTTAAGTCTCCTGGTTGGACGTGACAACTTCACTAATCTATTTATTCCATGCCTTCATCCCATCACGTCTTGATATTTGTAATTCACTTTTTGGCGGTTTACCTACAAGTTCTCTCAGAAGATTATAATATAAACAGAATTTCGCTGCACGGGTTTTAACACACACATCATCATGCCACCATATTACTTGTGCTACAACAATTACACTGGCTTTCTGTTAAATCACGGATTGATATTAAGACTTTGATTTTAGCCTTCAAAGCAGTGCATGGGCTAGCACCCGATTATATCTGTGACCTGGGGCCTCATGTATCAACGCTGCGTACGCACAAAAACTTTGCGTACGCCAGGTTTCACGCTCAGAATCGCTCACGTTTGGATTTACTAACAATGAACTGAACGTGGGAATGTGCGCAGCTTCACGGCAGCTTTCTGGCTGGCGTACGCATATTTTTTGTGCGTGTCTGTTTTATTTCCATTGGCGACTCCTAGAGGCAGTTGTGTTAAATTCCTCTCTACAAAGTGTCTGAGCCTTGCAATGGCAGCTGTATGAGACGGGTTCATCTAGCAGGTATATAAGGTTTCCATACCATACAGTTGACCAGCTAGGCATTAAAGCACAATTTGCAGCGGTCGCCTGTTTTCCCAATGTAATCTGAGCAATCTACTGCACGCACATTGCTTTAAAGACACTATCTGAAGATGAATTTGCATGCGGGAATCAGAAACATTTCCATTCAATAAATGTGCAAATAAAATATGATGCTTATTGATATGAACTTATTGATGATTCCTACTTGTCTTTCTGGTGATAAATAGTGGGCAAAATCTGATATGTAGCGGGGGAAAAAAGAAGAAAGAGTTTATCAGACGCTGGATTCGAGCCGAGTCCATGCTCGAACGTGTCAATACATGATCACATGCGTCTTACGAGCGCGCCACTGAGACTATTAAGCGTCCTGCAACATTTTACAGATATAAACCAGACTATTTTTTTTGTTAATGCACTCAGTGCGATGTTCAGACCCAACTGTGTTAACCGCATCAGCTAAACTCTCCCACTCTATTTTTTTCTTTTGTTGTTAATTCCGGAGAACAGACTTGCAAATAACACCGCTTTTCTCCGGTCTACCTCTGAAAGCAGCACCTCACATTCACATTCTGTTCAAAGTTTCTCTTCTTGCTTGCTTTTGCCATTGCTTTTTCGTTTGGTTTTGCCATTAGCATAGTCATTAGCATATTCATACGGGGGAGGAGGCAGGGAGGGGTTTTGCGCTCGTGCATGTTGCGCTCAGTTTCACGTTCATTCGGATGTACAAAAGAATATGCGTGAGATTCGGCGTACGCAGTGTTTCATACATCTGAATTTTTTTCTGCGTACGCACATTCACAGCTTTGTGCGTACGCAATGTTTTAGTAAGATTTCCACGCAAGTCTTCGTACATGAGGCCCCTGGTGACTCTCGCCACCCCAGGCGGCAGTCTTTGTTCTGCATCGCTATATCAGCCCTATATCAGCCAAGCAGTGAACTCAAGATCATGGGTGGGAGGGCTTTCCCATTAGCATTAGGAATGCTGCATCTCTGAATTGTTTTAAGAAACTTCTTAAGACTCACCTTTTTAGTATTGCTTTAAACTTAGGATGATCAATTTGTTAACTTTTTGTTCTATCTTATGGTTCATATTTTTATTGTTTTATTGTATCTTTTATTGTTGTGCTGTTTTGCTTGTTTTGTATTGCAAGTATTTTGCCTTGTAGCATGTTGAGGTTCAGAAAAGCTCATTAAAAATAACATTTATTATTATTATTATTATTATTATCATTATTATTATTATTATTATTATTATTATTTGACATTTTAGCCTTTGCTACCAGGAAAAATATACTGATAATAAACTGGATCAGTGAAAAATCCCAATCCTTGAAAGGGTGGCATAATATTTTTAGGGAAATGATTCCCTTAGAATTCCTTACCTGTGTCATCCATATGTCCACTGAGGCTTGTCATCAAGTCTGGACTCCTTACTTGAATTTTATTGATATTTCTTTAAGCTGCATTTTGAGTTATGACATGTCAAAATTTAATTTATGTATTTTATTACATAATATACTATTATTTTATCTTTATATACATATATTCATTTGTTTATTTATTTACTTATTATCAATATTGCTATTATTTATTCATTTATTATCATTTCATTATTTATGAATGCTTCTATACACAGTTGAAGTCAGAATTGTTCGCCCTCCTTTCAATTTTTTTTCTTTTTTTAAATATTTCCCAAATTATGTTGAACAGATTCAGGAAATTTTCACAGTATGTCTGATAATATTTTTTCTTCAGAAGAAAGTCTTATTTGTTTTATTTCGGCCAGAATTAAAGCAGTTTTTAATTTTTTAAAAGCCATTTTAAGGACAAAATTATTAGCCCCTTTAAGCTATATATTTTTCGAGTCTGCAGAACAAACCATCCTGCACAAACCTGCCTAGTTAACCTATTTAACCTAGTTAAGCCTTTAAATGTCACTTTAAGCTGTATAGAAGTGTCTTGAAGAATATCTAGTCTAATATTATTTATTGTCATCATGGCAAAAATAAAATAAATCAGTTATTAGATATGAGTTATTAAACTATTAGGTTTAGAAATGTGTCGAAAAAATCTGCTCTCCGTTAAACAGAAATTGGGGGAAAAAATAAACAGCGGGCCTAACAATTCAGGGGGGCTAATAATTCTGACTTCAACTGTATATATAATTTATTCTGGGTTTTTTTAGCATTGCATTGTTAAAATGGGCATTGTCAGTTGGTTTGTTTCAATGTGTTTTGTGATTAACAGTTAAAATATTAATAAAAAGTTGCAATAAAAGGAAAACAAGGCACGTTGATGGTCAGTATGTGAAGCGTTTACTCACGTGCAGGTCTCTGGACAGCGTGACGTTGCTCATGTCTACAGGCCGTGGGCTGAAGCCATGAGCTCCCTCTATGGAGCGCTGCAGGACACACAAGGTCAGAGGTCACACACACTGACTCTCGCATCAAAACTGAGCACCAGCATTCAATGATATCTGAAGGATCATATGTGATATTGAAAACTGGAGTACTTAGACTACTTAAATTATTACTAAAATCTGAATTAAATTGAAAGCTTTATTGTCAGCATAATCAAGATACAATGAAATTGCAGAGCTTCTGCTTAAAGATGCTTAACTAAAATTAACACATGTGAGACAAAGAAATTAATAAGCTTATACATGTACATGTACAAATATACATACATAAATTCAAACTACATACACATTCATACATATACTGTCGCATAAGAGAAACAGTAAGTTAGTTCAAATATTATTGCACTTGTTTGAGAGAATACAAAGAAGAAATATTGCACAAGTATAACACTAGAATGTAGTACTGATGATACTAAATTGCACAGAGTAAGATGGAAGGAGGGTCAGTGTATGTGACTGGTCAATGCATGTATGTTCAATGTGATATCTGCTTTGGGAAAGATGCTATTTTTGAGTCTGTTTGTCTGTGTTTTGATGCACCGAGTCAACAGCACGTTTAGAAATATATGCTCTGAGAAAAACAGTGATATATTTAGTTTAGTTTAGTTTAGTTTGACTTTATTAATCCCCGGAGGGAAATTCACATGTCACAGCAGAGCTCTCCATACTAAAAATAGATAAATAATTAATATAAATATTAATGCTTATTTTACCTGCTGTGTTTACATAGAAAAAACAGGAACATGTTTCTAATGCAGATGTGTGCTTCTGACCTGACTGGACAGTGAGATCCGGCGTGTGCGGTTGTGAAGGGTCGACGCATCACTCTCTCTCATCCGCTCGATGCTCCAACCCCAAGACAGCATCGTCTTCAGACTCTCTCTGATTGGCCATCGGTAAACCTCCTTATCCTGGAGCACAGAGGCATGTAGGCAAATGTACTCACACATGGGCTGTAAATGTTGATGCTTTCTCAACGGACTCAGTGATCATTACCTTCTCAGACAGACATTTGTAAGGCTTAAGCAGTGGATGAACTTTTGATGATTCACACATCTGCTCTCCATGAACCCAGCCGACCGCAAACTACACACACACACACACACACACACACAGATACAACAAATCGAATAACTCTTTCAAAACAAGAACACAGGCTTGCAGCAGCACCACTGATGCCTCTACCATATCACATTCTGTCAAGGTGCAACTTAAAATGTCTTGTTTTAAGAGTTTTGATTTATGAATCAGCTCATTTCATCAAATAAATCATTTATTTAATATAAAATAAAAATTGTCCAGGCAATCTATATCATTGCAATACAAAATAAAAATTAGTAGAAAGAGTTTTTACTCAGAAATGGCTAGTCAATTAGTCAATGGCTAGTCAATTTCACAGACAATCACTAAACAAACTGTATCACAAAGTATCACACTGATTTTAATGGAATGAATTATTTTGTTGTAAAGCGTAGCACAACTCATAAAACATGCCCGTAGCCAGGGGGGGTTTGGGTGGTTCGTTCGAAAGCAGGGACGTCCTGACTTTTACATGACCTCCCTTTCCCTATTTGTGAATTTTTTTAAATAACAGCCCGATGAAGGCTTTAATGGCATGCGGAGTCCTCAGCCGTCAGATGTCACTTAACAGCAAAAGGCGCTAATCCCGTCACGTCCGTGTTTTTGAGGCTGTTTGCTCACTTATTCTGATCGGATATAAACCCAATCGCTTAGACCACTTCAGAGGGTGATTTGGGATGCATTCCAGATGAAGCTGGATAGGTACTATCATTTTTTGACTAAATTAATATAAACTAAATAAATTATGACCTGGAGAAAATCTGACCTGCGCCTGAAACACCTGTAGGTGCGCTTTTACAGCCAAAATTATATTAAAACATGTTTACTATAAGCATAAAACATGCTCTTTCTTTTCAGATCTGTAGCCAGGGGGGTTCGGGTGGTTTGGAAGACCCACCCCTCACTGACAAAGGTCCAGAATTTCTCCAAAATGTGCTCATTTGTCCTATTTTCATCTAATTTTGACCGCTATGCCATCATTAATAATGAAAATGATCCATCGAAAAAGGCTTTCTTTTTTTTACCAAAGAGGCTAGAAAAAATCTGAAGAATTAATTATTATTATTGTTTTAATTTTTATTTTTTATTGAACTGGCCAAACTGTGACTGAGGACAGCTGAATGTGCTGGCCAGTTTGTTTTTTGTCTAATAAATGATAGTTTTTTTACTTTAAAACTTTAACAGATTGCTATTTTTCCCAATGACATATGGTGTAATAAATTTGTATTTTAAAAATTTGTCTTGTTTGAATTTTTTTTAACTGCAATTTTTAGGAAATGTTTTTAGTACATCAAAAAGTGTGGTTATAATGACATCTGACTAGCTAATCCAGCAAAAAAGTCACTAAAATGCAGTATTTAAATCTCAAAGTTAAATAGAAACTGAGGCGTATAACTGCGAAAAGGTCCACTTTTTGAGGAAAAAAAAGAACCACCCCTTTCACCAGGCTGGCTACGGGCCTGTAAAACATTACCTGTTTAATTAAAATGAAAATGGCTACAGTTTAACTAATAGTATCACTAAATTGAAGATATATCCAGCTGCAGAACCGCAGAACCACACACATTTCAGGCACACACAATCTAGCACACACGATTTAGGCAAACCATATATGGTAACTAATTAACTCCTTAGGAGCATTATCGCCACCTATTGAATTTCACAGATATGGTTACCCATTTCAGTCATTATTATTATAATATCGTAACGATCATTTTAACATCTCTGCAGTTTCTGAACTCAAATTATGTAAATAAAAATAATTGTTTAGAGACACTTATGACTTTATTCATGTGTTCACATACACAAAGAAAACATAATACACTGTCTAATTGTAGGATTACGTGTAATAAACTAATTCAGGATCTTAATATTATCCTACTTGGTTAAAATCACTTTGTTGTAAAATATAAAAAGCAAACAATAATGTGTCACATTACAATAAATTACTGTAGGTAATCATTTAAATAATATATAATATAGTTATATATTGATAATTTTAACTGATTATCTGATTATAAACTACTATCTTATACTAAACTGTCACAGCTGTTAATTATATATATATATATATATATATATATATATATATATATATATATATATATATATATATATATATATATATATATATATATATATATATATATATATATATATATATATATATATATATATATATATATATATATATATATATATATATATATATATATATATATATATATATATATATATATATATATATATATATATATATATATATATATATATATATATATATATATACACATATACACATATATATATATATATCATATATATATATATATATATATATATATATATATATATAGATATATATATATATATATATATATATATATATATATATATATATATATATATATAT